CCCCTAGATTCTAAACCCTCAAGCTCCGGATATACAGAAATTGTATACGGCCAAACCCAAACAACAGCCAATCAAAAAGCCCCCAAACCCTTAACCCCCCAAGCCCTACACCCTAAACCCTAAACCCTACACCCAAGCCTAAACCCTAAGCTCTAAACCTAACCTCAGAGTTTCGCAAGGCTGCTGGCGCTCCTGAGTTTTTGCGGGGCGTCGGCTGCGCGGTGTTTGTGGCATTTGGGAAGCATCCAAAGGTGTTAAGGGTTTAGGGTTAAATGATACTACGGTCTTAGGGTTTAGGGTTTAGGGTTGAATGATACTACGGTCTTAGGGTTTAGGGTTTGGGTTTTAGCGTTCAGGGTTTAGGGCTACATGATACTATGGTGGATGGGTATATGGTTTAGGGACCCTAAGCCTTTGGATTTCTGGTATCGTGCTATACCACAGTCATGCTGTATATTCTAGCATCAGCATGGGATCCCTGGTATGATTTACGGTAGATTCCGCAGATAAGGTATATTGGGGTTCCTGGGGCCCTAATGTTACAGTCTTTCTTAGCCAGCAGAAGACCTGTTTCTGAAATAAAGTTGGAGTTTTTTTTGGTGGGTTGGTTGCTGTTTCGGGATTTTCTGAAGCAAGCTTAGGGATCCTGTAGATGTCTTTTGGCATCTATAGGGTTTAGGCATTAGGGTTTCTCCATACGAGGATAGTTTTAGAAACCATTGCAGGATATGGGGATACATAGAACGGAGGGATATAGAGGAGCATAGGGACCTATAGGAATGTACAGGGAAATTGGGCTTTCGGGTTTAAGGATGATGGTTTTGGGCTGCTCGGGATGCCAGCTGGACATGGAGATTGCACAGGGATGTCGGGTCCCTAAACCCTATATGTCCTTATGTTTCCCTATATATATCCCTATATAACCCTATATAACCCTATATATCCCTATATATCCCTATATACCCCTATGTAACCCTATATAGCCCTAGGGGTTACTTTGGCACATCCCCAATCAAGGTTGGTTGTGAAGTGTAGGGTATGGCCAGAGAGTAGGGTTTCAGGGGTGGGGGTGGGGCTGGGGGTGGGGCTGGGGGTGGGGGTGGGGTGGGGCGGGGTGGGGGTGTTTAGGGTTTAACAATTGGGGTCTCCCCAATACACCCGGAGATAGCATGAATCCCATGACGAGTCCGCAACCGCCGCAACTGTTTTGATGTTAAGGAACTTAAATGAGGGTGTTGCAGAAACCAAACTATTTATATCCATGTTGTGCTAACTTAGCTTAAGTTCCTTGACAGCAACCCAGACACGGTTGCTTGCCTCTTCTCGCTCTGGCCTTTGGACATCTTAAGGGTTCTCGGTGTTTGGGGGCAGCCCTGTCTTGAGATGGGGTTTCCCCAAATTAGGGGTTTCTGCTTTGGTTTCCTTATAGTCAGGGTTTTGTTCAGTGTGCTAGTTGGGTTCTAAGAGGGACCCCCTTTGCGAACCCCCTTGGCATGGCAATGGAAAGATATGGCAAGAATGACTCATTATCTGGCTTCCGTGTAAACGTCAATGACAGTTGCGTTGAAACCAGACCCGCACAAGCAAGGAGAATCAGACTGCTGAGAGCAACGGAAGACATAAGTCTAAGATGGAAATGACGTTGGAACTCTCACCAGGTACGGAACTCTCAAAGGAGTAGCCTCGGCAACACCACTGCCCCTACTCAACACCACGACGGCAGCAGAAATCCAATTCTGATCCAGCAATCGCCATGCAAGATAGCAAGTAGACACCCCACGGCGCCTCTTCATCAGCAACATTCCCTAAACCTTATATAACCTCTATATAATCCCGTTATATTAGTTTCCTTTTTCTTTTCCATTGTCCGTATATTACCCATCTATTCCCTACCAGCTCGCCAGCCCCCTTTGAACCAAGGATGGACCTATCTACAAGGCAAACGTGTTGCGGTCTCAGAGATTTCACAGCCGACAAGACAGGGACGGAAGTCATCCACACCCCAGTGGAGGAGACGACATCCCCAACATGTCCTGCTTCTCTCACGGCAGTGGTTTGCGCAGTTTTTAACTTCCAGCCAGTTCTCGTCCGGCACACGCAACTCTGTCTCAAAATCCTTCTTGAAGTGCTGGACTGCTTTTTGCGGACCTCCAAAGAAAGGGAGCCCTGATCGTGAGAAACTCCACTGTCTAGCGCAGAAGCAGCTACCTTCATATATATATATATGTATATACCCCTATATAGCCCCAGTTTCCATTTCATTTTCCATTTTCTTTTCCATTTGATTCTCCATTATACCAATACAGATTTTTGTGCTCACAAAGGATGGAGCAGTTCGACAAGGGCAATTCGTCTGCCCACCGCTCAGCTTCAGCCAACTCAAGCCTCTTCGGTTTTGTGAATGATGGGCACGGTCATGCGCGATGGCGATAACGCTGAACGCTAACAGGTATATTGTTTAGTCTTCTGTTCTGTCAAAACTGTCCGTTCCCAGCCAAGTGTAAGCAAGTCTCCAAGAATCATGAAGGCTGCTTGTGGTTCGTGTACGTCGAGTCAAGACATACACTGACCTGGTACACCCGTTCATACATATTCAGCGAGACTCTGCACAACACGGCAACCCCTCACTCAGAACTTATTTCGTCAGCTGATTAAAGTGTTTCCGTAGATTTTCCGCAGAATTTGAGAAAAGACCCTTTACTGCTCTCAGAGTGTACATCCCTAGCCTTGCTTTGCAGTTGGGCCAGGGCGACCCGAAACCTTAGACCCTAAACCCTATAGTCCCCCTTAAGTAGATAGGATATGGTTTTGGGTATAGTAGCGTAAGATCCCCATCTGCCCCATATTCTATCTACTTAAGGCGGGCTATATCCCGTACACGAGCAGCTGATTGTTTCAGGTCCTGACCATGGGCCCCCAGATGAGGACCGCATGATCAAGGGCCCATACTAAATACTTATGGCCCATAGTTCCAAACCCGCACAACCTTAAGCCTTGATCCCCAAGCTCCAAACCCTAAGCCCCTAAACCCCTAATCCCGAAACCGTGATTGAGGTGATCTTGTTTGTGTGCCGTCGACTGGGGCTGGACGATTTCAATCTCGAGGAGTATCGAGAAGGCCGCATGGTGCAGGGCTTTGAAAGGGTTAAGGGTTTAGGGATTAGGGTCTAGGGTTGAGTGTTTAGGGTTTAGTTTAGGTCCTCTTGAAAGGGATATAGTTATCTTTACAGGGTTTTTACTGGTGGCTTGGGCATGGAAAGCAGAATGGAAGCTACTATATTGTTTAGGATTTAGGGGGCTGAATACTGACCAATACTGTAGAATCAATGGGAAAACAACCTGGAAACTAGGTTTGCATCGGGATTTATAGGAATGCTTGCCAGCATGATGGTTCGAGCTTCCCTATATAACTATCGTATAGGCTTTCTACGGGTTTTGGTTTGGGGGTTTAGGATTCTGGACTCGGTGTTTGTGGTTCTCAGGAACATTGATGAGGGGCTTCAGGTTTACAAAGGCGCAACCTTGAGAAATCTCAAGTGGGTTTTCAAGTTGCGGTCTTGATTCCTGGTGTGGGGTTTAGGGTTTAGGTTTAGGGGCTCGTGCGTGTTCTGCACCCTGAACCCCTTAATCCTAAACCCCAAACCCTAACCATGAACATAAGTCATAAGTTTTTGCTCTGCTGGCTGCAATCATGCCCATCCCCTCTATTCTTGGTATTATACGCTTTCCAAAACGCAAATTTGCCTGCGCGGCGGGCGCCGCGGATGATCAACCTTCGACCCCGAGGCCCCTCATCGAAACCCTTTGAACATTGTTTCAAAGCTGTTGAAAAACAGTGGACCGACCTAGGTTGTTGCAGGCCGGGTTTTGTTACACTTCACCCTAACCCTAAACCCTAAACCTTTCGCCCCAAAGCCCCAAACGACCGTGGAACCCTGCCAGAGATGCTTCCTGTCCAGGTTTGGACAGCTGCTTCACACTCCCGGAGTTCCAGGCCGTAAATTTCTTCATAGAGCCCGGCCAGGGATGTAGGGATTATCTTCCCCAGAAGTTGATCGAGCCTTTTAGAGAGGACCCTAAACCCTAAAGGCCCTAAAGGGTGATCTTCAAAGGGCCCAAAACCCTAAACCCTAAAGGGTCATCTTTAAAGGGACCTTTCAAAAAGAGTTTAGGTTCACTCAAGCTGAGGGCCTTATTCGTGGAGAGCCTGGCTGCTAAGCATTCTGTTCCACCTTGTTCCCTCGTTATATTAGGGTAATATTGGGATAATACTGGGGCTGTATTAGGGTAATATTGGGGTAAAACTGGTATTATATTGGGGTTATATTAGGGTAATCTTGGGGTTAAGTTATGTGTGGGGACATGCGCCCAGACTAAACCAGCACTGCCCAGGATCTCTTACAACTTCAGTGCCGGTGTACTGACTGTACTGCAACATTCTTATGGCAGCTTATTAGAACATAAAAGTACTTTGGTCAATATCGTATGTTTCTCACTTTTTGGTGTGTTTTTTTAATCTTGTTACCCGACGGAAAAGATGGTTCATGAGCAGACTCCGAGAGCCCGTTTGAATCTTGAGTTGGTGCTCGTGGGTCTGTTTGAAGTGTTTTGGAAATGGAAGGTTTATTCCCTCGCGGGAGCTGTAGAGTGAGACTAAACTCTTCCCTCATATCTTTTTTTTTTTGTTTCGGCCCTGCTGATCGCCTACACCCCTCTGATCCCTACTCTACTCTCTACAAAGCTATCATGGAACCTCATATGGTACCTTTTGACAGGTGAAAGTAGTCTTTATTTGTGCCCCTTTCAGGTTGCATCCTAATTCAGAAGAGGATAACCCCCAAACCCCTAAGCCCTAAACCAAGCCAAGCTCAAGGCTCAAGCCCGCCCTAACAGCGAGGGTTTCTGTCGCCCCTGTCTTGTTCTCCAGAGCCATCGTCTTGACTGTGACGGTCGAATCCTTTGCGCGCTGTTGCTGAAGGTTCGGGACTCCTGCCTGTCAGGGTTTGTTGACCGACGGGGGCCCGGTGGACTTCCTGTACGCCTGCGAGGGGCCCGGAGTCGAGTTTGCTGTACCTTGCGTGCTAGAGCTGAGGGTTGTCGACTACCTGTACGTTGACTGTGCACTGCCGGTCGCTATGGCATCCCCTAGGAAGAAGCAGGACCAGTATGACATCAGCGACGATGAGGGTATGGGAGACAAGGCCAAAAAACCCAAGACTGAGGGGAGCTTGGTGACCTTGGAGATGGGAGCGCTTAGAGCTCTGCTGCAGGAACAGTCTGAGCAGATCACCAAGGCCCAGCAGCAGAACATGGATGCCGCGCTGCGCCGTATGGAAGACAAACACCAGGCGCTCTTCAGCACAATGCACTCCCGTTTGGACCAGACGGACACTAAGGTCGAGGACTTGCAAAGTGTGGTCACTCGGCTGCAGGACCGATTGACTGCCTTGGAAAAACGCCCGTCCCCTAGCACCACCAGTACGTCTGAGGGAGCAGATAGAGACAGGAGCCGCACGCTGGTGTATGGTGGCTGGGAGAGAGGGACTCGGAGGCCGGTCATACTGCAAGACTTGGCCCGAGCACTTAAGCAGCTGGGCCTTGAGGAGCAGATCGACAGCGAAGCTTTCACTACGGGGCCAAGGAGATCAGTGGCGTTGATGCACTTTCTGCTTCGACGCGATGAAACTCACGAGCAGCTGCGTCAGCGCATGCACCAAGTGGTTAAAGGCTTTGTGGAGGTGCAACCCCACAGCAGCCAGCAGAAGCGGATGTGGTGCTCCTTTAGCAAGCCTGTGGAAGTGAGGCGCAAGGGCGCGCATGCAGCATGGATGAAGCGAGCCCTCACCCACATGGAAACGGACTTCGCGGCGAAGATGGTTGATTTCGAGTACCACTCAGGGTCGGTTTGGGTAGCGGATGCACATGTCGCAGGTGTTGAGCCAGCTGACTCCGGCAAAGATCCCAAGGGGCTGTACGTTGACGACAAGAACCCAGACCGCCCTTGGTTCGACCTCAAATCTCTGGCGCGTGTCCTTGGCAGGCCCCAGGCGGCTGTCGAAGAGGCGATTCAACACACTCGCCGCTGACAGCCCTTGCCTGAGCTGAAATGTGCGGTGCTCTCCTGGAACCTGGGCGGGACCTGCTTGGATGTTTTTCCCGAAGGGATTCGACAGGCCATGGCTGCTTTCCGTGATTCAGGCGATGCAGAGTCGTCTGACTGGCAGAACTCAGTAGTGGTTGGACTGCAGGAAGTACCCAGAACAGATGCAGGATGGAAAACAACGGAGTGTGAGGGTTGGAGACTTTTGCAATACAGATCGGAAGATGCATGGAGGGGGGTTGCCCTGGCCTACAACCCACAACAATGGACGTTGATGAAGAAGAAGCAAGGGGGGCGAGGGTTTTGGGCCAGGCTCCGACATGTGCAACATGGCGTTGATGCATGGTTTGGTAGTTTTCACTTCACCCAGGGTTGTCCGCAGATACAGCACGCTTCTGAGGTGGAAGAGGCCCTGTCCGCGTTACCTGCTACCACGCTTCCGGTCCTCCTGTCAGCTGATACCAATGCATCATTGGGGTGGACAACAGGGGACAAGCAACACAGCGACGTGGCCTATGGACTTGATGGGAAAGGGGTTCGTATGTTGGAAGCTTTTGGAAGCCGAAGTTTGAGGGTTGTGGGAATCAGAGAGGGACAGGAAAATTTGCCTACTTCCAGACCGAGGAAATCAGGGGTGAAAGGCAATGTCATCGATGTGATCGCCGGGGCCCGGGTCAGAACAGGACCGCTATTGATAGCCAGGGATAGTCACAGCATCATTGGCACTGATCATGAGGCGGTTATGTGCATGGTGTATTTGCGGGGCTCTGGTGCATGCCCCAAACGGTACGACTGTCGACCAAGAGCAGTGACAAAGTCAATCCCAGTCAGCACCTTCCTGGACCAAATGGCGTTGACCACCATGGCCCGAGAATGCACGAAGCCCCAAGCGTCGCAGGGTTATAAGGACTCCGACGAAGTGAAGGCCCTGTTTGCCGCCGCCAAACAAGCGAGCACGGCCAACGCGTGGAAGCAGGCACACGAGGCAAGGAAGAAAGCACGGCTGGCATGGGAACACGCCAAGTTGGATGAGGCCTCTCAGGGGAATTGGAAGGAAATTGGTAGGGCGAGACGCACTCTGCAGCCTTGGGAAGACCACTTCGCAGACGTCCAGGACGGCAAACCCCATGAGAAGGTACACGCACACTTTTGCAGGAAATCTATGCCGGGGAACCCTTGGAAGATTGGGTGGAGGAGGGCACCTTAGCGTCCCCGCCGTTTGAGTTGCAGGAGCTCCAGGACGCGGCGCAAAGGGTAGATTCGGGCGATCCACAGGCGCAGACGGTGTACCTCATGAATTGCTCGCCACCATTGCCGCTCACCCCACGGAGGGCCCCAAGCTCTTGGAATGATTCAATGGTATCCTCTCCTCGGGTCAGATTCCACGAGACTGGAGTGTTGTGGTGATGATACTTTTGGCGAAAATTCCCAAAACGGAACAGGTCAAGCACGTCAGGCCGATTAGCCTGGGATCAGCTACGAGTAAGTTGTTCTCTAGGATGCTCCTGGTGAAGAGTTTGGGCGGGCTAGGAGAACCTTCATCTCGTCAATGTGCCGGCCAGGGCCGTCAGGCGTCTGAGTACGTGTTTTGCGTGGCAAGGCTAATGTCGCTGGAGAGGGAGTGGAAGACTGGCGTGCGGTGGGTGAAGTTAGATCTTCAGAAAGCCTTCGACCGCGTTTTGCGACGTCAGCTCATGACCATGCTTCTCTCCCGTCTTGGCAAGACCTGGGTCACTCGTGCTTGGCAGCGTTTGCTTGGACCATCGGAAGCGATTTTGCAAACCAAGTGGGCGACGACGAAATTGGAAATGACGAGCGGGACCGGCAAGGCTCTGTCGAGAGCCCGGCTTTTTTCGCCTTGATCGCGGATGTCTGCGTGGAAGAGGCTGGGCGAAGGTTCGGGTGGCATGCGGAGTGCCCCGGCTTGGAGGGTTTGAACCTTAGAGAGGTCTTGTTTATGGACGACGCCATCGTGTGGGACACTAGTGGGCCAGTGTTGGGACGCCGCCTTGAGCAGCTTGCGGTGGTGCTTGCCGAATGGGGTCTGCGTCTGAATGTAGACAAGTGCCAACTTTACCGTAGCCCCTACTGTAACTCCCAGGATGACGTGGTGGTGGGAGGGCACACCTTGGTTGCGGACGACCACCTTGCGGTCATGGGCCTGAAGTTCAGGGTTAATCAAACAGCCTCGGAGATGCTTGCGCCGCTATTGGGCCGTGCTCGGGACGTTTTTTGGAGTTTGAAACACATCCTGTGTCGGGGAACCAACCTCCACAAACGCATCCATGTTCTCGACACTTGTGTGGGAAACTCTCTGCTGTGGTGCAGTGGCGCCCTCCAACCTGATGTACAAGCTCTGGGTATGATTAATAGTTTTCAGCTGCAGTTGATTGTTTGGATGCTCCGCAGACGCCGCCGAGGAGACGAAAAGTGGCTCGACTTTCATACAAGGGTTTTTCGCGAGGCTCGCGCAGTGTTGCATGGCAGTGCGGTGGACCGCTGGAGTTCTAGATGGTTGGCGGCGATCTGGAGGTTCAGTGGGCACAGGGCCAGGTGTGCAGACAGACCGGTGCCAGGAGCGGGGGCGGTGGTTGATGCCTTTAGGGACCTACAATGGTGGGAACGACAACAACAGTCGCCAACAGGCCTTCGCCACAGGCGTAGGTTTTTCGCCAAGTTGATGACGCATGAGCACCATATGGACCGCGCAGCGGGTGGCCCGTGGCGGAGTATAGCAGCAGATCGCAGTATGTGGAAGTCTAGGGAAGCCTTGTTTGTCAAACACTTGGATGTGAGTTGGACTTCTGCCAGACAGCCTGCATTGCCATATTAGGGAGCGCTGAGAGTGAAGCTGCCCAGCAAGAACGAATGACGCGTTGCTGCTGACAGTTCAAGGGTAGCTTCAGTATCTCCTTTGTGTTGCCCTAGACATGCAGTTTTCTTACATGTGGATATGGTTGGGGCATTTTGCCTTGATTTACGGGTACCGGCCTGTGGAGACCTCCTACCTGCACCACTTTGACCAGCGCCTGCAGCGGACATGCGCTCCCTCAACGCCATTGCCAGCTGCGGACGAGAACGCTCGAGCACGGCCCTGCGCCGACCAACCTCAGGACCAAGGCGAGGTGCACGATGTGGTTTCTTTGATGCAGCGCAGTGGCGCCCAGCCTGGCAGGGTGCATGGTGAAACCGCAGAGCTCTTAGAGAATGTCCTGCGGGGGAAGTTCATTGCAGTACGCAGCCAACACCGTGGTAGGGCACGAAACTTGCTGTGGATTCTTCGAGGGTATGTTCGGCGGGGACTCAACAGCAGGGTTGAAGGTGTGAGGCAGATGGCTCGCATCTATGAGTATGTCAGGGAGGAGTTTTGGCCTTCGGTAAGGGACGAGGTGAACGAGCATAGCGACCGGATCGCCACCTGGGTGGAAGACTTCTGGCGCACGACCCGCAGCAAGGCAAGGAACACAAGAAGCGGTTGGCAAGGCAAGCCGTGAACCCTCATGGCTTTGACGAGGAGATGGTCCTGGATTCCGACCCCGGGGACTTCTCCGACAGGGACACCTTGCAGGACCAGGCCGTGGATCAGGACGCGGACCTTGTGGCGATTCCGCCTGCAACCGACACTGGGCATGGGACCTTGGTGGCTGACCCAGCTCCTTCGGACCGTGGGATGCCTGGCCCCGCTGTGCCTGCCCACCTTGAAGAGGGCGGAGGCCCAACGATGGCCGAGCCGGCCGTGGAAGCAATCGACCATTCCTCCGACGAAGCCTGTGGTAGTCAAGACAGTCAAGGGTCAAGGAAGAGGGCCAGGGATGATCAGCAGTCACAGACCGAGGAGATCGTCGAGGACGAGAGGTTGAGCACCGTGGAGAACAGGAACGTCGACAGTCCGGGCCAACACGCAGCTGCATCTGCTCCGGCGGCCGACCGGGAAGACTTTGACGAGGCTGTGTTGATGGCGTTGGACACCACTCCGCCGTGGCGCCGCCCTCGGGACCCTCGTTCAAGGTGGCTGCGGCATGACAGAGATGGCCGTGGGAGAAGGGAACGCTCCAGGCGACCACGACGCAGCCGAACCCGATCCGCCAACAGAGAGGCAAGATCATGGAGAAGTTCGCGGACGGCAGCCCGGCCCACGTCCAGACCAGCTTGCTCTTCGCATGTCCGTGCGCCTCCGCATGTGGAGACAATCCGAGACGACAGCGACATGGTGGAGGTGGAGGTGGAGCCAACCTACGAGCCCTTCGCCACTGAAGACGCGATGCGAGTCTGGCTCTCCTTGATGGAATTACGACCTGAAGGCGAAGAAGGCAGTAACCTTGGTTTGCCGGGCTACCTCCTCAATAACATCCAAGCAACACTCGAGGATTATAACGCTGAGGACTCGGCGACCTTGTTGGGGCTGTTCCAAGCCCAGGTGGCTCAGCTGGTTGACGCTAGAATGCGGCAGATACGCTCCAGCAATGCTGCCAACCACCGTCGTGGACCGGGCGAAGGTGATGGCCTGAGCCTCATGCAGGGGTCGATATTCCACGTCGTCAAAGGGGAGCTCAGCACGTTTGCCCTGCACATGCAGCAAATTACAGACGAACTCTCGGTGGCTGCACCGGCCGCGCAGGCGGCCCGAGCGCATGTGCTGCGCAATCTTCTGGCTGAACGCTACGGCAGTGGCGTCGGCCGCCGGCTGATGCTCAACAGGGCGCAAAGCCTCGAAGCAGTTACGGGAGCTTTTTCAGGGAGCGACCTACCGGAAGGCCCAGATGAGGATGACAGGGCATGGGCGCACCGATGGTGGAGGGTCCTACTGCCAGCAATTCGGTCTGAAGAGTCCTTGGTTTCCGTTCCGGGAGTTTGTTTGCAAGTGGACAGTGCCTCTACAGCGCCGGATGTGTCCGACAGTCAGGGTGTGAGTGATCCGGTGCCAGCTTTGCCGATCCCGACAGCCGACCAGGAAGGAGAAGGGCCGACTCGCGTGAGTGGAGATCGGCGGGGAGAAGACATGGACTTTGGAGATGCCGAGCGCCAGCTGCACCGGGAAGACATGCTGCAGTTGGAGGCCGAAGCTCGTGACGAGTGTGAGAGAATGGAGGCCGAGGAGGCTCTCTATGCCGAGCAGCGCTGGGAGACCTACCTGGAGACCCGGATGGATGAGGCGACTTCAAGTTCGGAGAGCAGTACGATGCGCATTGATGCCAGGCAGTGGCAAGCTCGCAAACGGCTTCGTGTTCCAGAACCTGACCCTGTACTGACTCCGGCTACGAGCTCTTTTGAGGCGGGGGCAGTGTTAAATTCGGACCCTGGCCGTGCCACTGTCAAGCAGGAGGGTCTTTATGTGGACAGTCCGTTGCGGTTTGTGCAGAGTCCGCTTGGAGAGGTCATTTTTCAGTGGTGGATGCAGGGCCTTGTACCGAGCCTGTTGATCGCCAGTGATCTTGGGTTAGGCGTGTTACAGGCGTTCCGTGCCCAGAGGCAGCTCCTGGAAGGAGAGGGACAAGCTGGGAAGTGAAATTTTGGAGGGGCCTGAATGGGCCAGCGAGCTGAAGTAAAAGTCCGCTATCCTCCCTCAAAAAAAAAAACTTCCAAACCCTAAATCCTAAACCCTAAACCGTAAACCTTAAATCTTAAACCCTAAAGCCTGCCAAGATTGTCTGCACATTTGGAGGGCTTGGCGAGCGGCAACAGTTCCTCGTCGGCGCACTTCTTCGTGGCACCTTGGCTTCATACAGGGGCCTTAGTACTTACCACGCGTATTGTGGTCCCAGATTCCTTGCGTAATTTTAGCATAGGCTACCTCAACAAATAGGCTTCAACAACGGATGTTGATACTTATTCTTGTCTTATAGTCCCCCAAAAAAGATAGAATATGGCTTTGGGTAGGTATTAACAAGATCCCCACATACCCCATATTCTGTCTACTTAAGGGGGACTATAACCCGAATATATACCCTACTCAAATATGGTAGTTTCCATTTTCTTTTCCATTTTCCTTATATAATCCTTATAAAGCCCCATATTCTATCTACTTAAGGGGGACAAAAATTATCTAGCAAGAGCCAGATTCCAGCCGGTAGTCCTTCTAAGATGCAATTTTAGATGAAGGGTTTGAGGGTTTAGGGTTTAGGGTTTGAAAGTTTAGGGTGTAGGGTTTCTGACATGCCCGTGTGGAACAGTAAGCAGTAGCATGGTTCAGGTGCTCATACTTTCTAGAGCTGCTTGTTGGCAGAAGGGTTGTCGCATGGTTTGCACAGCGGTCCGCAGGGGACCAACTATGAATAAGGATGATGGGTTCTCAGGGTTTAGGGAGCCATTCCTTCATGAAGGTGTGGGCCCTAAGATAAAGTAGAAAGACATACGCGCACGAGCAGCAATACCCGAAGTGAGGCTTCCTCCTGGGTAAACGTAGGCCTGGTTCTTTAGTAGGAGCCCTCATGTCCCTCGTGCCCGAAGAGTTGACTGTCGGCTTGGTAGATACTTTGGTGGACCAGAGATGAGGGTTTCCCAACGTCAAGGGTACCTTTTTTGGAGGTTTATAGGGGTAGCCTAGGGTTTATATAGGTTACCCAAAGTTAGGGGTACCTTTTTTTGGGGGTCCGCATGATAAGGACTACAGTATGTTGGGGGTCTATAATATTGGGATACCCAAATTTTCGGACACCACTACCAAATAGCGTTCTCTGTTTGGAGTCTTGTAGCGAGATCCTAGTCTTTCTAGCGGCAGATAGAGGAGTCTTCATGCAAAGGCCCTAAACCCTAAACCGCAACCCTTTAAGGGAGTCGTAGTTGAGATCCTCCGAACTAGCTGGGAGTTTATCAAGGTTGTTCCTATACATGTTTCCGGAATTCTGAAAGGCAGCCCATCAGACACTCCCCAAGAGGGATTCCTGTAGTTAGGGCCGTCTTCTGTCACCCCTTAGATGAGGAATCCCACGCTTTCGTAAGAGATTTGTAGCTGCCAAGCTTTGGAAACTACCAACTTGAGACTCTTTCCCTTCACCACCATCAAGTTCACCTAGGCCTCAGATATCCCCAGAAATGACCAGTTCCATTTGATTTTGTGTCTGCTTTCCCATCCATTTTTCAAAGCCGCAAACTCTAGAATTGAATTTGGTTTCCCATCCTCTAGACTCCACATCATACGTCTAATAAGCGCAGTATAACCCTACTGAAGCTCATTATAAGTTTATCATTATAAGTAGGTTC